GGACGCGCGTGCAGTTGCCGTACTGTATTAAAGCTTTAATCAGGATAAAACTGTATATTAAAAGCTAACATAAACAGTAGCATTTACAAATAACAGCATATCTAAAAGTATGAGACAACAACAACAAAGAAAAAACATAGGCCTACCATTAAAAGCCGTGCTTGCACAGGTTCTGCACGATCCTCTTTAATAATATCCTCTTCTCAATCAGGCTCAAACTGATAAACGATATAAACGACACCGTTGTTCACAACACAACTGGAGCACATGCCGCTGAGGTGAGGGGCGGGACGTTTAGACGCGTGCTAGAGGTGGTTTAGCCAATCACAACACACTGGGCTAGCTAACCAATCAGAGCCTAGTCTCGTGTAGCCAGACCTTCAGACTGACGGCTGAAGGTCTGGAATCCATGGCAGATTTCATTGGCCGACATGTCAAACAACCAATCACAGTTCGTTTCGTTTCAGCGTCACGTTTCGGGGCATGGAAATGTCACCACAATAACAGTGTGTAAAACTCTCGGACGTATTTTAAAGATTCTGTGTCGCAAACTTTAAATATTTCACATAATTTTGAAAATCCAGCGTTTAGTTGATCCAGGCGGAAAGTTATAGAATGCGACACACACGTCTCCCGGAAATCCTGTATAATTCAATCAATCCGATGACGACTTCGAAACTCCTGAAGTGTTTCCACTTTTGTGTGCCATATGCATCAGATGTTTAGCCAACGTTCCGTGGGCGTGATGACTGAGGCTGAGACTAATAAGAGCCCATCGCCTATTTCTGAGGGAGGTAGTGATGGGAAGTCCGGCTCTTTTCAAAGATTCGGCTCTTACGGCTCCCAAATGCCTCTTCATTTAGTATCACTTGGAGCCTTCTATTTTAGCCCAGTTTAGCAATTGTGAATGGTTTGTGTGTTGGTAAGCAATTTTTTATTCAGTGTTTTTATAATGGCCTTATTGTTATGCATTTTTTCGTTACAAAAAAATACAGTTACTATTATTTAACATTTTTAATAAAACTTTAATTGAACAATTGAACACAGAACCACAGCAAACAAATCAAATAAATAAATAAAGGCAAAATTCTTAACATTAAGACAGTTTAGTCTTTAGTGCAGGTTGGCATTCAGACATATCAGATGCCTCAGCTTGGCTGTGCTGATGCGATTTCTCCTCTCTGCTCCCCCGTCTCTCTCTGTCACTCTGTGTACCTAGCCTTTACCACTACACTCGCTATCTGCGGAGCCACTACACTCTTCTCGTTCGCTACAAAGAATCGGCTCTTAGAGTCGGCTCGTTCGCGAACGACACATCACTAGAGGGAGGGGCTTCATAAAAGAAGGAAATGATCAGCGTGTTTCTCAGAGAAGGGAGAGAGCAGTGTGGAATAAAGGTAAATTATGTGAAAAATAATGCATTTTTTAAAAAACTAAGCATTAACACATGTTACACTGCACCCCATAAACACAATCAAGGCTAGAAAAAACCCACTGAACCACCCCTTTAATCTGAGCAGTACAAGACTTGACTACTCTTCCTAAGTTTGCCACCTGAAAACACACACACAAAAAAATTGACTTGATGCAACAAAGTTAAGTGGTTGAAAAAGTAGAAGAAAAAAAAAATCCTTAATTTTTCCTTCGTGGGCTGTTAACCATAGGAAAAATAATGCGAAATACTAAAACTCAGAGCATTTTTTTATTTGTCCAATAAAAAAAATCAATAAATCTAACAATGCAGATCATACATACACATAAATGAAGGGGTGAGCCTATACAACATTCAATGTGGCAAACACTCAATCTCACACACAAATACACGCCCATATACAAAGCATTGAATGAGTCTATAACACAGTCGGGGTTTTATTTTTAATTTTGTCTAATAAAAACTGTGACTCACACATACTGTACCATTTTACTTTTTTTTTTTTGGTTAGAAATAACTACTTTGTCTTTTCCTTATAGCATGGTCATATTTTGGCATCTTGGCATCTCACCCAACACAAATGTGTTTTTTTATTTTTTTATTCTACAATTTTTATTTGTGATGAAACCTAAAACTTAAGATGTTAAGTTTGTTACGACAATGGTTTATAACTTTCAACCCAAATGCAGCCATTGAGTACTACAGCCATATAGTGGCTATTGCTATTTTTGATATTTTGTCACGAATCCGGTCTATGAACTTCAATTCACTCACCACCAGAGGTCACCCTTCCATTACATTGACTCTCGCACTACACAAACTGTTGCATGTCATCCCGGACTACATATCCCATCATCCATTGCACTGATTGCACACAGCTGTAACCAATCACACATTCACTATATAACACTCACTCAGATCCCTTTCAAACTGCCGAGTAATGTATGCGCACATCGCTATTTGTGATAGCTACATTACGGAGCCTACTTGAAATTTCATAGTCTTAGCCTAGTCTTGCCTTGTCTGATTCCTCGTGTTCTGATCTTTGTCTGTGCACTTTGGATTACCTCTCTCGTCTTGCCCTGTTCGGATACTGTTTGCCCCTGCCTGGACCTTTGCTTTGTACCTGGATTATCTCTCTAGTCTCGCCCTATTGGATTATGTTCTTCGTCGATTGACCCTCACTGTTTACCAAACTGGCCATGCCTTGTCTCTTACATACCTCTTTGCCAATGTTTGATTTATGCCTGTTTCTGACCATGCCTCCAGAATAAAGCTTTGCACATGGATCCGCAAGTCTCACGTCTCGTCAGCCCCGTAACAATATACTCGGCCACACAAGGATCCAGCGGCTTCTCGGATGGACATTGGCCATGTATGGATACGGCAAGAATATTGTTAGCCCTTAGACAGGGCACATGATCGCTGGAAGGCTATATTCAAGAGTATTTAGCCATTGCTCATTATTCAGATCTGCCGGACTGTGTACTGTTAGACTTTTTTTGCGAGGGTATCAATGAACCTTTGAAGACACTATTAATCCATGAATGTCCCTGTTCTTCCCTAAGTAATCTTATGGATTATACTCTATTGTCTGTTGGTTCAGTGTTCACTGTGGGTATCGCGGAGGAACGCGACCCCGCACTCACTCGTGTAATGGTCCCCGCACTAGATCACGCTCACAAAATGACGGCGACAGAGGAGCCTGATCGCAAAATGGCGGACACAACAGCGCCCCGTTATGACACAGCTGCCAATCCTGAATCAAGTCAA